AGGAAGGAGACAGCACTGTTGTTATCAACTGCACTTACACAGACAGTACCTCTACCTTTTTTTCTTGGTATAAGCAAGAACCTGGAAAAGGTCTCCAGTTGCTTATACATATTCTTCCAAATATGGATAAAAAGCTAGACCAAAGACTCACTGTTTTATTGAACAAGACGGCCAAACATCTCTCCTTGCACGTTGCAGCCACCCAGCCTGGAGACTCAGCTGTCTACTTCTGTGCAGTGAGCACACATTGCTTCCCAGGCACCTGCAGCCTGTACCCAAACCTGCAACTGGGCTGAAGACACATACTGTTTTCTTTGGCACAGACCTGTATTGTATTTTTAATATGTGGACCTTCTAAATCATTCTGAAAAAGGTCATTTTCAAAATAACCAAATAAAGTTTAGAACATGTTGAATAAAATCTTATCGAGAATTATTTCCTAGTGATATCCTGGTTTTAGAGTTGACCTTAGGGGGGCCATTCAGATTTCTCTCTATCAAGGACATCTTGGTGTCAATGTCAGAGAATACTCTTCTTGATGGAGAGATGCTTAGCTTTTAATAATAGCATTTATTAACTTTTTCTGATTATAAAAAATATTAACTGCAAGGTATAAAAACAGTAAAATATAAAATAAAAAATTAAAATGTCTTGTAATCTTATCATCCAGATAAACCATGGCTTATACTTAGTATTGTTTTTTATTAAAATCTTATTACAGATTAGGATCACACAGACTGGTATTTTGATTTACTTCTATCGTTATATTCTAACTTGAGCATTTCACATTTGTTAATGATTTTATAAGTGATTTTATGTAATCGTTCCATTTTATTTGTGGTAAAAGTATTTTCCTGAGTTCAAATGTTACCCTTTAAGTAGATAAATAATTTCTTAAATGTAGGATGTTTTAAATTTTCTCCAGTTCTAGGAATAATTTGTTTCATTAGTCATACGTGCTTTGTTTCTTCAGTATTCTCCCCTTCCCTGAAGTGCTGAAATCTTTTTATTTGTTCCATAATTTTTCCATTTTCACATAATTGTAAGGAGAAATTTGTGTGTCTCCAATTTTGCAAGTTAAAGTTTCTTTTGGCACTGATGATATTGGGACTTATTTATAGTCATCTAGGCACAGAAAAGAAGGTCAGTGTTGCTTTGGAATTATTTTCCAAATGAGAGGCCAGGATGTCTGCTGCTGGCAGGAGTGGTACCTCACCCATGTTGAGACCTGAGTTGGAGTACTCCCTGGACAGTCTCCCACTAATGTCTACTCGTGTGCCCGAATTACTCTTATACTTCCACTTCCTTGTGTCAGTGCATCATGATGACAGGGAGAGTAGTTTGGTGACCTAGCTCAGTGGTTTGGTTCCTTAATAAATGACAATGACGCTATTTTGTATTCTTCTAACGGCATGCAAACAAATGACATTTTGCTTCCAGGATAAAAATTTTGTAATAAAATGGATGCTTACTTTTTGAAATGTCTTATAGGCCACAGTTGGTGTTAAACTAACATTTTTCACTGTTTATACTTATCATTATTAACTACTTCACAATGAGAAGGCAGCAATAACCTCCTGACTGCTTGTGCAGTCTCCATTGTATTCTTTTTCCTATATTAACAGTTCACATTTATTGAGTTCTTACCGTGTCTGCTGCAAAGCATTTTATGTACATTAGCCTCCGTAGTCCTCTTAATAATATTCTGCACATATCCCCATTTTGCAGATTAAAAAATTGACATTTGAAGACATTAAGTAGCTTTCTCAGGCTTACACAGAGAAATTAAATGGAAGAGCTGTGTTTTAAAGTTAGATCTGTTTGAGGCTGAAACAATCTCTTAACTGTCCTTCCTCAATGCCTATCAACCCACCTCTTTAAATTATTATGTGGACGAGCAGCCACGTTAAGTGTAAAGAATTTCATTTTCACAATATTACTCATTCACTCAAAAGCCTCAATAGATCTTTGCTTACTAATAAGTAACCTACAACCTAATTCAGGCATTCAACATCTTCTGCGTTCTTGACCCAAATTTTCCCTCAACTTGATCGCCTGTGACACTCCAGCCTCCTCTCTTTTTCTTCCATTCATTTATCCATCCATTTGTCCATCCATCCATCTGTTCAGCCATCATCTATTTCTCCACAGAATGGGCTAAATGTATTTGAGGAAAAGACTACAATGCACCCATCCTGGCATTAGCAAAGCAGAAAAGAAAGACACTCTAATATACACAATCAGAGTATTGCTGTTTTAAATACAATTTTAAATACTGTTTCAGAGGACATTCTGCAAGAACTGAGGGGAAAAAAACCTTCACTGATTTGAGTTCTTGCTGGATTTAAACTGGCTGTTTTAAATACAATTTTAAATACTGTTTCAGAGGACATTCTGCAAGAACTGAGGGGAAACCTTCACTGATTTGAGTTCTTGCTGGATTTAAACTGAATTTCTATTAAATGCAGCCCAATGAGATCAAGAAGAAAGAACTTTCAAAGTCAAAGCAATAATTTTCATACCTGTGGGGAGGCCAATAGTGGTGAAGGGTGAAGAGTGGAGGCTCAGTCCCAGGATCTGAGAAAGTTTCCTAGAATTCCGCCATGCATTCCCTTGTGCTGTACGTTATCTAGAGCGCATGACATCCTCTGGCTACTGTGGTGGGAACAGTGGAATAATTCAACTGGGCAATGGAATGGAGGCCGTGGGAAACTTCATCATTTGTCCTGTATCCAACTTTAATATTGCAAATTCCTTTTCATGTACTGAGTTCATGACTCAACAAACATTCTTCTAGACTTGGTACCTACAGATGTGGTCTGAGAACCAGCAACACCAGCATCATGAGTATGTTTATTAAAAATATAGACTATCCAGCCCCACCCCAGTCCTAATGAAACAGAATCTGCATTTCAACAAAGTCCCCAGGTGACTCATGTGCATATTGCTTGAGAAGCCCTGCACAACCTTCTGGACACAAGAGGGCAGTGTTTCCTATCCCCTCAGAGCCTTTCTCAGATTTGAAACAAAGATCACCATATAGCTGGATTAGGCCCGTGTGTGCATATAATGTGCTGAACAGGCTTCTCACTGGTCGGCTGGTAGGAAGGCTGAGACTTCCTCCTAGAATAGAAGAATCCTAGTAACACCCACCAAACTAAACAGAACGGCTTTTTGACTGATGAGGCTGGGTCCGCATTTCAGGCCACAGTTGGGGACAAGAATGGAGCCATTCCTGGGAGGTGCTTTGGTGGCTTTGTGGCTTCAAATGGACTGTGAGTTGGAGGCTTCCTGGTGATGGGGACTGAGAGATCCAGGGACACAGCACAGAGGATGGAGGGGAAGGGCCGGGATCCCTTCCTCTTCATCTTTGGGTCTATCTGGGGGTGTGGGAAGAAAGTGGACTCTTAAGAGTGTCAGTGAGGTGACTAAACCTTCTGTTTTTGGCATTGTGCTTCTGCCTAGGGGTGAACAGCCAGAAGGTAGAGCAGAATCCTCGGGCCCTGAGCATCCAGGAGGGTGAAAAGGCCACTCTGACCTGTAACTATACGAGCTTCTCTCCAGAGGCCCTGCAGTGGTACCGACAAGATCCAGGAAGAGGCCTCGTCTTCTTGCTGCTAATACGTGCAAATGAGGGTGAAAAACAGGAAGGAAGACTGAGGGTCACCTTTGATAAGACCTCCAAACAGAGCTCCTTTCATATCACAGCCTCCCGGCCTGTAGACTCAGCCACATACCTCTGTGCTACAGACACACAGCGGTGCCCTGGCAGCTGCGTCCTGCACCCAAACCCTGCTCACCTCTCACAGTCAACAGAGCTGGTGCTCTTCCCACAAGGCCTCCTCCGGCTCCTGGCAAAACAAAGTA